AAATGTCCCTCTCAGTGGATAAGTTTATATAACCCTCTAATGTGGATAAATGGCCATCCCAATGAATAATATTAATAGTAGTCTTCAAAGTCAATCAATCAGAGTACCGTTCTCATATCTGAGGGTTGGCGACCACAGTCCTCCACTCTAAACGTTTTCGGGCTGGTGTTACCAATCATCCAAGGTTTTGTATCTCTCTGGGGACCCAGTTTTTAATTTCATTCATCCATCTCAGTCTCTGCCTTCCTCTTGCCCTCCTACTCTCAACTTTGCCATCAATATTTCTGCCATTATCCCCTCATCCCTAATTATATGACCAAAGTTCTCATTTTTCTTTTTTCTGAACATTTTAAGAATTTCTCCTGAAGTGTTTGCTAATCTTAGTACTTTTCCATTTGTTTTCCAGTCAGTGTAGCTTATTCTTAGCATTCGCCTATAACACCACATTTCAAAAGTCTCCAACCTTTTTCTGGTGTTTGCTGAAAGTGTCGACATTTCTGACCCATACATCAGTCTTTGCCAAATACAGTAAAGCCTTTCAGCAGCCTTTTTCTCAAATTGAAGTTAATGTCCCTTTTTATTAGGTCTTTTAGATTATTAAATGCTGCTTATGTTTGCCTATTCTTGTTTAGATTTCTTCCATACGCTTACCATCACAGCTAATGTTACATCCCAAATTCACAGTAAAAAAGGTTATATGGCCTTCTTGGTGGATAGGATTAAATACATTTCCTTGTGGATAAATCTAATTGTATAGGTTTAAATAACTTTCTTTGATGGATAAGTTTAAATGCGTTTATTAGTAGATAAAATTTTAAACGAAATTAGCAAACACGTTTAAATTACGTCTAAGAATCAATATCATTCCCAAAAGACAAATAAAATATAAATAATAGCCGTCGTAAAAGTATAATTTAAATGGAGTGTTTGGTAGATTAAATATGTCCCGGTGGTCGCGTGTTGGTGTTCACTTATGTTTACAAGCTCTCGCCGACGTCACTTTAGGAAGTAAAATTACCCGGCGCCTGGTGATGTCTTGTCGGGCCGAGGGTTTTAATGACATCGGTGTCGACGTGCAAATTGCTTTCGGGTGACGGAGGGTTGTCGAGAGGACACTTCCGGGGGCAAATGAAGCCCCCGTGGAGTGTAGAAGCTTCACTATTCAAAAGGAAGTGGAGAAACAGGAAGAAGGAAAGGAAAAAGAGACTAGAAATGAAGGAAGGGAGTACGGAAAAGGAAAGAATGAAAGTAAAAAGAAAATATGGTAGAAAGGAAAGAGTAAAATGAAATACGAATGGGAGGAGGAAGGAACAAAAGAAATAATAAAGGAATGAAGGAAAGAAGAGACGTAGAAAGGAGAAAACAAGAAAAGGAGGAACAAGGAAGTTAAAAAATGAAGAAGGATAAAAGGAAGGAAAGAGAAGGAGAGAAAGGAAGAAAGAAGAAGGAAGAAAAAAGAAAAAAAGAAGAGAAGGAACTCAGATTGACACAAGGAAGAGGTCATCATTAAGGAGGTTATTGAGGAGACAGGAAGAGAGATCTGGTGTGTTGGGTGGAGGGGGGGGGGTGAAGATATGAGTGTATGGATAAATGGTCTGACTGTACGGGAGAGAGGAGGGATGTATGGAAAGTTAGATGTCTGTTATGTTAATCTGTTCTGTGTGTTATAACTGTGTTCTTATGAGTTGTTCTCCCCCTCACACACACACACACACACACACAGGTAATAGCGTTCTTCCGGAGAGGTTGTACAATACTGTATTCGTATATAGTTAAGAGCGACGCTTGATTACCCCACAAAAGCCTCTGCCATTACAGCACTAATATGCCTATTACCTATTACCTGGGACCTGGCGAACACTGATAGCAACTCATTAATATCCAACTCCTCCACTTGGTTATTGTACAAAAATTGCGCTATACAATAACGTAGTATATCTACCCGTGTGGGTGTAATAGTCCAGACAGTAAAGGAATATATTAATTGTATTTAGTGTCTGTGTTTTGGCTGGGTTAATATTTTGTCTCTCTGTCTGTCTTTTCTGTTTGTCTGTCTATCTGCCTGTCTGTCTGTCTTTAACCGGCGTGAGTGTAGAAGACAGGTTGTTACTAATGGTGTTTCCTGTTCCTGTCTTGTTGGTACTCAACAACCCCTTAGGTGCTGGGATGTGCTTATGATGTAATCTCTCTCTCTCTCTCTCTTTTGCACTCATTCTCTTTCTTCCTCACTTCTCTCTCCTTTTTGTCTCCCCCTTTGATGGTTTTGTACACCCTCATTTTCTCTCTCTCTTTCGCCTTCCTTTCCTTCTCTCTCTCTCTCTCTGTCTCTCTCCCCTTCCCTTCCCTTCCCTCTTTCTTTCGTTCTTTTTCTCTCACTAAAAATTTAAGTGGTTCCGGTGCTGTATATTTAAAGGAATCATTTCTCCCATTATGACTGAGACGTGATAAATAGTGCTGGCTCAGATTTCTCTCTCTCTCTCTCTCTCTCTCTCTCTCTCTC